TACACCCTCCGGAGTCTTTGGCTTTAGCAAAAAATATTGCAACTGATTCTCTGCCTGATAAGAAAAGGCCCCATTTTTTCTTCTGGTGTAAGTTACTATTAAAGAGGGCTTTATTTGTTTAACGCCTAAAATAAGCCTTCAGCTCTTCTATTTTAAACAGACATGGTCAAATATGCTTTTAAAATTGTTTCTGCTTTAGGATATATAGACTATAATCCAAGTTATGAATATTACATTTTAATTGAAGAATTCCTTTTCATGTATCATTATTAAAAATTGTTTAACTTCAATAAATTTTCAATAAATCGATATCATTCTTCAATGAATCTTCCATATTAGTCTTCAATGAATACATACAAGTCTCGTAGCTATAGTGGCAATTAATAATGATGTTCATTGCCCACGAGACTTGTATGAATACATACAAGTCTCGTGGGCAATGAACGGAGAAAAGCAACTGTCCTAGTGCTATGACTAATTCTCTTTCTACCTTATATGTTCACTCGAACTTTAAACTCCACTTAATGTACATTCTGGAGCAGTCAATTAAAGAAATAGAAGTTAGAAAAAACAAACGTAAAAATAACATGTTAATTAAAATAAATTTTACGAACTTGAAATATGAGGTTTGATCTTTACTGCTACAAAGAAGACGGGAACTCTTTCCATCTAAGGAGGAAGTTCAACAATTTCGTAGCTCGTAGCAACGATGCTTTTTTTTTCTGTTTGTTTTGTTTTGTTTTGGCTGTTGTTGTTGTTAATGTTGTTGTTGTTAAAGCGGCTGTGACATACCAAAGCAAACTTTAAAATGCCCTAGATCATTTTATATTTCTTCTTGAATGAGAATTTGTAGTTCGTATTTTAGAATTATCCTCCATTCAAATTTAAGCAAAGTAAATTTTTCTCTGGGCGTCATCTTAGGTTTTACAGATAAACAATATTTACATAAGCAATTAAATATATGGTGCATATGAAACATGAACCCGAATATTATACAGAAAACGTGGCCCTACAGAGTCTTTGTAGGGAATGTTAGGTTTTCTTTTTTTCTTTCCTAGAAAAAGCAGGAAACATAAAAAAGTCAGCCCCATGTTTCTAATTATTGTCTATCCACTTGTTAGTCGGACGTGTACGTAGAGTACGAGAGTTTGTACGGAAGACTACAATAATTACTTACATTTTTGCTGAAATCCTCTAGTCGAGCATTATGGTATGTAGGAAAATATTATTTTGTAACATTCGAAAGGCTGTGCTGCGAAGACATGTATCAGTGCTATAGAAATCTGAAGACTCCGTTGTGAAGACATATCTGTTACATTTCTTACATATTGAATAGCTGAATCATTTTTATAACTTAAAATTGGTACGAACGTAGTTTAACCCGGCCTACCCCCCCCCAATAAAATGCCAAAGTACACTATATATATGGGTGACATCAATCGAGCAGATCATTACGCTGCTTCCTATTATATTTTTGCGCAAAAGCCTTAAAGGACGGCGAAAACTGTTGTTTCTGGAGTTGGAGGCTTGTGCACTTAACGTATACTATGTACAAAGAAATATGTGAATAAAAGCATGAAACATCTTTAAACGATTTCAGATTTGTAAAGCGTGTCTTTATCCAAATGAGAGAACATTTTTGAATGAAAATATAACCACAGAGTCAATGTAATAGAGAAGGCAAAACGACTTGGAACATTATACACTTTAACATTCTAAAAATAATAAAGATCGCTGAAAATTTTCCAGTAGAAAAATCATCTGAGGGTGCAAATAAACATCAGCATAAAGCTCTATATGTCCTGGGAACCCTTCGCTACATTTAGGGGATTGTTTTGAAAACTTGCTATGAAATGAAATGAAATGCCATGCTATGAAAGATTATAAAAATTAATTCAGTAATAAAGGATTATAACTTCAATTTTCATATACCTTTCTAGCATTCATTTCTTTAATTCAGGTTCACCTGTATTTTTGAGGGGGATTGTTGTTTATTATTAAAAATATGTTATAATAATTTTCAACCGCACCCCCTAGATCTTTTGATGTCGATCGTTGAGAGTTAGAATGTTGTTGCCAGAAGTTTAAAAAATTGTTTTGTTAGGTACGTACGAATTGTACGGAACGAATTAACTTTATTTAAATATTTATAACTGATCAAAAGAAATTTTTGCATATTGTTCTTTCGCTGCTAATATTGAACCAAAACCTGAGTTCAATTACACTCACTTTTTTATTTCTTATTCCTCTCTCATCTGTGAGTTTAAATAAATTTAGTTAGAACTTGAGAAAAATATGTTTATATCACTGTACCATTTTTAATACATTCTGTTTAATATTGGAGCAAAAAAATTAAACAAACAATCATAAAATGAATATAACATTAGAGACAACAGATAAAAATGTAATGAAATTTAGTAGTTGATTAGTATATTGCCAATATCATCAAATAATTTGAAGATAACAAATGCAAGATTTTCTTTTAAAAGTGAGTTTAGGTGTGTTAGAATCTGAGTAAGGCAATGGTACGCACTTTTCCTGACAATATCGAAAGTGTTGATACAAAGGGCACAGAATCCCTTTCGCAGCATTTGAATGGTTGCATAGTCTTACGCCCTTTTACGAAAAGAGTTGTGATTGCTGAAAGATACAAAGACAAAAGTGTGACTTGTGTGAAATTTTTTAGAAGTGTAGCAGATGGTATTGAATAATGCTTGTTTCTAGCCGCTTCCGCTGGTGCGAGTATACCTCGAAAGCGAAGAAATCAAAGGAAAGTTCGTATGCATAAAAAACTAGTATCTCTACAGCCCCTCACCCGATATTCTTCAGGAGTTTCGGAAAACAGGTCAGCCTGAATACGCTTCCTTACTGCAGATACTCCTGGAAATCTTATTTGAAAGGTAAAAATTTCAATGGGAAATTTTTATTTCGGCTAGGCGTGCTAATATACCCTACTGAAACTGTTCATAAATCTTGACCGATAAAAATGTAATATCAAAATATTTGCTTTCTCAAATTGTAACTAAAGTAATGTTACAAAAACCGGTGATTATGCTATGAAGATATTGTTGCATGCGTACGGGTTCGTAAGGGATTGAATGCACAAGTCTGATAAAAGGTTAATAAAATTTATTCTTATCAAAAAAAATACAACAGAAATCTGGAATTTTCCTCAGAGATATTCGTACAAGTGTTCAAAATATCACACAATATAATCAGCAGTTATACTTCAAACTACTAAAAACGTTAGAATTCCACGCAATGCAAAGAGAAAGCTAATCCAATCTCAAGCTGAACTCGCAAAAATAACAAAACAGCTAACTAAACAACTGAGCTGAGATATTCTCTGTCTGGCTTTTTATAGCTTTAAATCGGTCGCGAGAAATTTCTAGTAATTTCTGCTTCTCGAGATTTCTAGAAAGCAAAAGAGTAGAATTAAGGTTACAGCTAACCTAGTAGTCAATTACATTTATTCAAATTAAATATAAATTACCTAGATAAACTTTTATTCAATGTTGAATGCCCGGGCTCCTGTATTTTTACTTTTCCGGCATAGCTTTCTCTTAAAACTCGTCTCGCGCTGCATTGCACGAGGAGATAGAACAATTTTATTATAATTCTACTAAAAATACCTAACTAAATGCAAAATTCGTAATAAAATGTTAGATATATCAAGATAAAGCTCTTGTAAATTAATTTCTTAATCTTCAGAGTAAAGTTAATTAAACTCATCTTTATTTCTTTCTTAAATTTTCCAACAAGTGTACCTAAAAGCAAGTACTTTAAAGTTAATGTTAAATCTGCATTATGTTTTGCTGATTGTATCTCTCATATAAGAAGCAGTGTAAAATGCTGAGAAATATTTAATAAAATGTAAAATTTAGCATCTGCTATTTCAAGGTCTGTCTTCATGCTTTTGCCTTTTGCTTGTTCATAGCACAATGACGATGAAATTCTAACATCGCAGTTTTATAGTTTAAGGTTTCATTTATGGAACTAATTCTCATTTCTTCATTGTTTCATTCATAAAATTGCTAAGTATGCAAGAAATTGTGTACTTTCAGCCATCCATTATGTAAAGAATTGTGTGTAATTTGTAAGGAATTGGAGCAGGTCGATCCATATGTTCAGCACGTCACTCAAATGTCTTTATAATTCGATGCCATGCAAAAACAAGGTGAGTTTTCCTATGAATTCTCTCTCCAAACCCCTTTCATTTTTACAACTGATGCCCGAACTAAAATAGGGGACAATTAGTTCATCATCATGCTCTCATTAGCCAACCAAATTCGCCCATCCTCTTTGAATGGGAGAGAATGTGAAAAGCCAAAGGCCCTTACTGTTATGTAATCATAAGGTATAAAAATCATGACATCGATCTAATAATTTTAAGGCATCAAGCGTCATTGCGAACAAGGTCACGGAGAGTTTTTCTTCGAATCCTTCTTACAGGGTTTTCTCATCTCCACAAATGATTTCTAATTTTCTCCCTTTCTTATAAAGGTTTGGTTTGCTTTATTATGGCAACGCACATGAAGGCTATCTGACTACGAGATGGGATTCCTTCGTGGAAAACTTTTTAAGAGAGACTGGTCTTGCAACCACGTTACACAAGGAGAAAATAGAAAATCACTTAAATACCGATGCAACCAAATCGTTCGCTGGGATTTGAACTCGGGTCGAACTACTATTATTCAGCGACTTTACGACTTGGACTCTCGTGAGTATTTCTTTTTTTACGTCAAACAAATACAAAATGGCTATCTTTAAAATCTTCTTTCTTTATTCTGGTTTATCCTTAGTACTTACCTCTGAAACTTTTATATAAATATCCCGATAATATAAATGCGAAGCTTAAAACTGAAGCAATAAACACACATTTTTTTACTACAATACAGATACAAACATCTACTAAAAACACATATACCATCATAAACAGGTAAAAACATGCTTTGCATATAAAATTATGAAGCAATACGTTTCTTCACTTTTATTTTCAGCATGCCTGCTGTCGAATATACAAAGAAATTCATCACATCTGTAGTTTTAGGAAAAGATGTTGTGCCGCGTATTGGATTGCATCAGATGGAAGCATTACGCTCTGATCTTATTAATGCTATCAAAAGAAGTCAAGATCCTAAGGTAAAGTATAAAATTCAGTTATGATAAAACTTCATGAACTAATAAATATTTAAGATACAATAACACGCCGAATAAATACTAATTCAGAAGTCAATCAACAAAAATCAGCGTTATGTTTTCCGTGCTCTACAAGTTTGCTCCTCCAAACTAGCCCTTGATGAAGAACTAAATTATTTAAAAGCAATAGCTATTGACAGGGGCTTTTCATCCAACATTATTAATCAAGCAGTTAAAAAATTCTCATCTCAACACACTAAAAGCCACACTCTTATTTTAGAAGATTATAAAAATTCTGTTGTCATTCCCTTCTTTCCATCAATTAGCTATAAAGTTGCACATATTTTGCAGAAATTTAACTTTCGGGTTGTTTACTCTCCCATCAATAAAATTCCAACTTCTATACTCAAGGACCCCATTCCGGATATGAATTCCTGGGGTATTTTATAGGATTCCTTGCCAGCGCGGTTTAATTTACATTGGCCAAACTAAGAGAGCCTTAAAATTTCGCGTCAAAGAACATGAGGCATATGTTAGAAAAAAGGAAACACAGAAGTCTTCTGTTGCTCAACATTGTTGGTCCGAAAATCACACTTTCAATTTTTCTGCTGCCAAAATTATTCAAAAAACATCTTTCATTGGAGAACTGGATTTTCTAGAGGCATTTCACATTCATAAAAATCTTTCTGTTCTAGTTAACGATTCTAATTCCAATCCAAATTTGCCTTCGGCTTTTAGAGAAATTATGTTTTAGTTCTGGTTTCGCCAACAGATGGCGCCACTTGCTTATTCTTGTCCAGGCTTTCTTATCTTATCTAAACATTATTTCCTATCTTGTTCATTTGCGGTTTTGCAGCTGAAGATGATGATTCGGTAAAACCATCGAAACTAGTCCTGTGAAAATTTTGTAAATTAACGCTGATTTTTAATGTTTGACTTCTGAATTAGTAATAAATATTTACTTGTTTTGTAAGCAAGATTCTTATTTAAAACAATGTTAAAAAATTGGTTGAAAGGTAGTAGGTAAGATATACCACTTCTGAAACACTGATGATTGAGAATTACAGTGGCGGGAGTTTCGCAGAGAGGGTTGAACTAGTTAACTGATAAGTGGAAGGACAACGCGAGTAAAATAAGACGAATAAGCTGATATGATGGTATCAAAATTTACTGGAGATTACTCGTACATCCTCGCGCACTGTTTCCTCTCGAGTACATTTCCTTCTAGGTTTTTAAGGCCAGATTCTGAAAATTTTAAAAATATTCGCGTAATTTTTCCTTACCACAAAGTTTTCAGAGAACGAGCTTCCCTAAATTTTAAAATAGATTCGTTCACGTAGTGATCGTTTTCGTCTTACTAACGAATACATATCTCGCAAACTATTTGCTAACGTCACGCCGATCATTTCCCTTCTAACTGTTAAACTTTAAGCAAGCATAATACAAGAACCGACCTGTCACAACGAATCACATAAACGAACTGACATTCAACTCTACAATTTCGCTCAGTCAGCTGAGTTCGATCTTCCCTTTCTTAAAGAGTAGTAGAGACAGCAATAGGAACGGGCGAGATTCGAGTTACAGGGAAGTGGAGATGAAGACGTCGTATTTGATATTGTAATGTTAATATTATAATCTCAAATATTGTATATACTTATGTATTCTTATCGGTATGTAAGTTTCTTTCAAAGAAATAATATTGTGACAATTACCTGTAGTTTATCCAATAATACTTTTCATTTTTTTATGTTCTTACTGTAACCGTGTCCTTTGAAATTGAATTATTCGCATAATTTTTGCCTCTTGATTTTTGGACGATAAAATTAGTAAAATAGGTGGTGAAATACGACAAGTGTTACAAAATCTTTTACTTATTTTTCCGCTGTAATTTCCTTAAATATTGTCTTAAATTTTTTTTAAAGATTTTTAACATTTGCAGCTCATAGTTTTCTTCGCATTCCGACTACACTGCGCTCTAATTTTTAATTTTCCTATTCCTATCTGCGCACATTGAACTCAAGAATTTCTTTTGCGTTCTTATTTCCGATTTTAGTTGTTGATCCGCATGACTTTATGTATGCGCATGATCTTCTTTTTATTAGCCCAAAGGGCGTTAGCGCAGAAGGGCTAATAATTTCAAAACGACATTTTGCGTCCATTAACTTTTCAAACTGTTGCCACTAAATATTATCGCCATGTTAAAGAAACTAAATAATGAAGAATCTGCATGAATACATGAATGTTTCTCGCATTGTAAAGAAACAGCGGTACCTAACCCTGTCAGATTTTGAATAACTAGTCTTCCAACCGAACATGGGCACTTGGAAGCCCGAATTTTGAATTTCGAATTTGTTTTATTATCTATTTAAAATTTTGTAAAACTTTAACCGAGATTGTGTATTGGAAGATATGCTGTTTTTAAATTTTGTAATATTGCTGTTGAAGTGAATTTATGTGTTTTAAGTGCGAAGAAAATCTTATTTTATCAATAAAGGTAACACACAAAACGTTAAAAAAAAGCGCTCTTTTGGGCGTAATATAAAATATGATAGTTTTCAGTTGTTATTTTGTTTTATTTTATTTTAAACATAACTTTTAACCTCTTTCGTATTTTAAGCTTTTGAAATTTTCTTTGTACTCTTTATTGCAACATACTTCATATAATTTCCAGTATCAGTTATTTATTTTACATACATGACCTTTTATTTTATTACCTAATTTTAGATGCAAGATTCAGTTTCATTCACACTTTTATCTTTTTTTCAAATTTCATGCATATTCAGACTTAAAGAGCAACCTTAGTTCATGAACGCGCTAGATTTCAAATTTTCCAAACAAAACTTGTCTTAAGTGACGAACGATGTCTCGAGATACGAACTAGTAAGCGGGCAACAAATGATACTCCAAAATGCAGTGGAATGTCTCCGGAAGAAAAAGGCAGTAGGGTAAATGCTCCTAGTTATTTGATCAGCTAAATTGTGAAAATGGGGAAAGGTGCAAAGATTCGCACAACATTATTACCCTGATAAAGCAGTAGTAAGCCGTAACATAAAAATTTACATTACATTGCCTTGGCTTGCTTTAGGAACATTTTAAAACGTAGACAGAAACAAATCACAGTGGGCAAATTCTTAATGGGCAACGGCTAAGTGATTCTGAAGTAGAGGCGAGTGATGTTAAAAGAAAAATAGTAGGGGATTGAGGAAGGCAGCAGCTATGTTTGTGCATTAGGATTTTCCTTTCAAGCAATTGCATTTTGCAATTTTGACTTTTTCACTGTTTTCTACTTAAGCCGTCAAACTTCTTTCTTAGAGCTCCGGTAAAACAAATTAAAGTTTTCTTTATTTTATATGTTTAGTATTGTGTTAATATTGTGTGTGTTAGATTCAATAAATTGCACCAGTTTTGCATTACGAACTCAACATAAGAAACACTCTTTTCTAAGCACTCATTTAGGTTAGGAGACGGATTAGTTTATTTTGCATTAAATCCTATTGAGAAATTTCCTTCGGTTTACGAATATTTCGAGTAACGAACTATCTTCAGGAAAGAATTAATTTCTTGAACAAAGGTTTCAATTTATTTAACATATTTCTAATCGTAATGATGAACTTGTTTCTTATGATATTTAGACTTATACTGTTTTATTTAATTTTACAGAGTTTTAATTTTATTTCACGCGTTTAATTTTTGTAATTTTGTACATATTCCAATATTTTTGAGTCATTAAATTAATTTTACTCCTATAATTGTTAATTACTCTTTTTTGAAATTAGCATGAGATTTCTTGCACGCGAAGTAATAATAGACAATCTTTTGCCCTTCAGAATTTAAGCCCTTAATTTCACTAACGAAAGCGAAAACGTAACAAACTTCGAATGCGATTTCAACCACACACAAAAATTTCAGTGAAAACTGTTAGAATGCATTCTTTTCATTTCTTAAAAATTTAGCTAATTTCAGATTATTCAGGAAGTACCGTGGTAGTTTTATAACAGATATTTTCTGCATGATTCCCGAACTCGATGTATCACGTCCATTCTAATGACCTGAAGTGCTTGTTTAGCCGAATCACAAAATTCCTTGTGGATGTGAACAACGATAGTAGGTAAGCGCTATCTTTATCCAACCCCTATAACGAAAGAAATTGCAGGGTGCAAGTAAGATCTAGTGATCTTTATGCCCAAAGGACAAATTCGTCGTGTTCACCTGCAGCCTCGATTCAGAGGTTTGGAGAAACACCACTGAGAAGCACTTTCTTATTCCTGTTACACTGTTCATTTGTATAATACAGTCACCATATCACCAGATATCTATTTGGGGGAATAACTAGTTTTCATAGATATACATGAAGGAATTTGTCAGTAACAGCTGCTGAGAAATAGAGGGCAATTTCAAGTGGAACAGTGCACAAAAATTGTTGACTTTGCAGAGCCACGCTGCTGCATACTTTTAATCGTGTACGAAATTCGCTATACAGATCAGAGCACTTCAAATGGAAGCACAGAGAAAGCTTCCTGCTGCTGTGACACCATCTTGGAAACTTACTAAGAGACTCTTTAGTAAGCATGAACAGCTAATATCAGGTAGTGCATGGGAAACTTGAACAGTTTTTGTCAAAGTCTGATTATTTATTCTTTATTTAAACAATGCCAAGGATGGCTTATAGTGTAACAATTATGTTTATACCGTATAATATTTTAAACGCACTTTTTCTATCATAAAATAAATTAATTAATTAATGGGAAATATTTTTACTTATGATTTTAAGGTAAATTTTTTTCAAAGCCCCGAAAAATTCAAAGCTTAACTTTTCATTTTTAGAGAAAGTTCTCAAGTTAAACATTTTCATCATACAAAAATGTGTTTAACGATGCTGATTAGTGACGCTGGTAGTTGTATCTTTGGGCCCATTCGGGTCTCGGAGTCGGCTTGGATATTCATAAGTATATAGTGTCTATGCGACATGGGAGCACTTAAGGAATAGGAGAGATCCTTGGATCCGTGCCCCAGGGTGTTATCTATCATAATTAGAACAGATCTGGGCAGTATGTGTGGCGGGACTGTACCAGTAAAATAAATGGTAAAAGTCTGGTGTTCCTGTCCTGTCTTGTCTTACTAAAGATGTGGTTGGGCATGTGTAGGGGGAGAAATGGATTTGATGTTAACTTTTTATATTGCTCAGTTCGTTTATATACCCTGTGATTGTACCTCAAAGTGCTAATTCAAGGCAGTACTTCCTAAACACTGTAGGCTTAAAATTCATATGCATGTAAGTGCGAATTATCGCAACCCATCTGCATACCTCCAAAAGGAGGGGACGAATAAAAGGAAAGGCTTAGAAGAAAATAATATAACAATGAAATGATAATAATAAAACGTAGATATCAATTACTACATATTTTTAAATTAATTAAGAATTATAAATCAATATTAAAAATTAAATAACAAAACAAAAAATTCCAAAACTTTCCATGACCAATAAAATTGCCTCGCGACTTAGTTATGGAATCTCGACCCAGTTATTGAATCTCGACCTGTCCTTAAGAAATTATTTCTTTAAGGAAAGTGTTTTTACACATTCCCTTTCAAAATCCTGTGATTCCAGTATTCTGTAGCCAGTAAAATAATACAATTCCAGAATAAGGTACTCTCGGGAAAGTCTTCAGTGTAAGGATCCTTCAGATATTAGAACATCCTTAAGGTATGGTTATTAACGTAATTTAATTTGGCCATCTAAAAATTAAAGATATATCCAGTTCTTCAAAAATGTGTCGAAAGGAAAATAGATGAAAATATGACTGTAGTATCATCTTTCAGATTTCCATTTCTGAGTTAGATATGAAGTTACACTTTCAATTACACGTTATGTTACTTTTGTGTCCCTCCTCTTTTTCGTGGTTAGCTAATTACTTTCTAAAATGAATAAATTATTCGAAATTGAATAAATTATATCGTCCAAATTTATTTGAAATTTTATACATTTTAATGAATACCCAACTTGTAAGGATCAATTTAACAAAATTCAAATATTCTTTAAGAAAGCTTTGATTGTCTGCCGTATGAAACAACTTTATTGATTAGACATAAAATTTGTAATAAAAAGTAGCAACGCTTTTTTTTTCTTCAAGTATTCAATTCTAATCAGTTCGTAACATAATGAAAAGATAATATAATTATATTCAGTAAGTTATTTAGAACAAATTGGTTAAAAACAAAAAATATACATAATATTTATGCAGATTCTTTATATTAAATTATATAGTATTATTACATTTGATAAAACTGATATACCAGCCCTTCTCTCAATTTTCTTAATCAAAAAGCTATTTTCTTCCTTTTGCGTATCCTTCAGTATACGAGATATGGTAGGAAAGTAATGAGATTGGTAGTTAGAAAACTCTGTATTTGGAAATACACTCAGAGATCAACATAACCTTTAAAATTGCTCTCTTGGGAGGTTACATATTGTTGCGTGCGTACGGGTTCGTTATGAAATGAATGCACAAGTCCGATGAAAAATGAACAAAATTTATTATTATCACAACAAAAAATGCTTAAATTTCCTCGGATATTCGTGCAGTATTACAATATCTCCCAGTAGTTATCTTTTAACTACTCAAACGTTCAAAAAAACTTAATTGAAAACAGCTAAAGAAAGCTAATCCGCGAATTCGCTACAGTCAACAAGATCAGTTTTCTAAGCAAACTCTTAAAACAACAGCAAACTAACTAAAATAACATCATCGAATTGAGAGGTTTTCCTCCTTTTTATAAGATTTTAAATTGCGCGCGAGAATTTTCTGGAACTTTCTCGAAATCAAAAAGAGATATCTATTAAATGTTAAATGCACGCACTCTAGTATTTTCAATTTTTCGGCTTAGCTTTCTTTAAATATTCGTCACGCGCTGCACTGCACGGGGAATAAAACAATTTAATTTATAATTCAACTAACATTAGCTATTTAAATACCAAATCCGTAACAATATCATCAGAAACATAGCTCCAACTCTTTAGCGTTCGATTTTAATCGGCCAGTCACATGACGGATGCTGCTTATATTGTCATAAGGAGAGCTTTTTAAATGGAATCTGTTCTCAGGAGAAGAATAAATCAACAAGATTTAGGTCAAGTGTGTAGAGCGACTTAGTGACAAATAACGCACTGTCATGAAGAGTCAGCCTCCTGTCTCCAATGTGTAGCTGAATGGGAAGAATATTTCAGTCTCCCAAACTTCTCGTCATATTAATGTTCGTTTTTTCGCACGTTTTCAACATTTTCCTCCGTTTCTGCGTCGAAGGGCTTACGGAGCGCAGTTCATCTTCTATATTTTCCCAGCCATCTGAGAAGACTCCCATCACGATAAATTGACTAAATCTTCGAAAGACACACTCTCATGCATGTACGTAACTTTCTGCTATTTTGTGCCAAGTTTACTATTTGCCAAGTTTTACACCCATGATTTAAGATCTTCGTTATTCTATTTCTGTACCAAGTCAGTACGCATTCCATGTATCAGGTACCCAAGAAAGTTCTGCGCGGTTTTCGTTTTCGTCACTCATCAAAACGGCCATCAAAAATCTTAAACGCCCATTTTATTCTTCGAAATAATCACCACTGGCTTCAGTTACATGTTTCCAACGAGACACAAGGTTATATAAATGCAATTTTTGAAAAAAATCCTTTTTCCTGGAATCCAAAAATTGTGATACAGGTATTGCGACATCGTCGCGTTTTCGAAACTGCTGTTCACGCAGGTGGTTATCCATAGACAAAAGCAGGTAATAGTCCGATGGAGCAATGCCCGGGGAATAGAATGTCTGAGGCAGAACTGTCTAGCCTGGTGTTTTGATGACCTCTTTCGACGTTTCTGCTGTGTGAGGTCCAGCATTACCTTGGAGGAGAACTCCTCTTCTATTAACCAATGCTGGCTGTTTCTGGTGCAGTGTAGCTCTTTGCTATTGTGACGAGCAGACGTCGGGTGTTAAGCTTTTTCTACTTTCTAGGTATTTGGACTATATCAGCGCTGGTCCACCAAGCTCACAGCATTACCTTCTTTTGGTGAATGTCCGGTTTAGTGGCCAGTGAGACCGAACCAGAGGTTGACCAATGATGTTTTATCTTCCGGTTATCATACGTGATCCAATTTTTGTCACATATCGAGATTTGTCCAGGAAGGAGCTTTATTATGGCACAACATTAACGACAATCAGATGGAAATTTGACCATTGCAGCTTGTTCTCGGGTAGGACATGAGGAGCTCATTTGTTTAGTTTCCAGGTCATCCCAAGGTTATGAAGATGTGATCGAATAGTTTCTTCAGATACTCCAAACCTGTGTGCAAACTCCAGGCAGATTTGATGAGGATTACTCCTTGATTTTCTCCTTAAGCTGGACTTTGTTGAGGTAGAAGACGACCAACACAAGGCTTGATTTCAAGGCTCTCGTCTCCGGAAGAAAATCGGCGGAACCACTTTTGAGCAGTCCGTTCACTAACTCATGTCCCTCGAAATGTGAAGCATATTCTTCTAGCAGCCTCTACAGCTTTGTTTCCTTATTTATATTCGTAAAACAAAATATTCCTTAAAATCTCCTTTCCCAATGACATGCTTTTTTTAAGACTGCAAACAAATACTACAAAAACCGATAGCGAATTATGCGATGCCCTGCGTTTGAAAGGAATGTAAACATATGACGTCATCAGAATCAATCTCATCAAACTAACGCGCCAAAAGTAGCCGTTCTCAAAAAAGGCACCGACACCTGCTACTCTCGAGATTTCTACACTATTACAAGTATATAGTTTTCTTTCGTTTTGCATAATTTTATTTCCTGTACATGGCACAGAAAACACAGAAATGTGCACAGTGGCACAGAAAATATTCACTTCACTGGTGACACAGCTAATTAACATTTGTATTTTAAAGAAATTATTTTTAATAAAGTATATTTACCTAAGATGTTTTTTGGTTAACATTGTTAGTTTCTGCAATCACATAAAATATGAAGCTTTAAAATTATTGTAGTATATAAAACAGTTATAAAAGTGATTTAAAATTCAAACTTCACGTAATATATATTGTTTCATCATTTATGTAATTTATCTGTTAATAAGTTTTCAAATGCTCTAATATTTGCTAAGATATTTTTCCCTGCAGTGGAAAATCATCATGGGTGGCGTCTTCTGTTGCTGTCCAGATGAACTGAAACTTGATACTTCAGATGGATTTGCAGACAAAATTAATTTTCGTGATGTTGCAACTCATCCCAGTGATTCATCTATAGCTCTTACAGTTCATCAACCATTATATCCACCAGGAAAAATTATTCATATAGTACGTAACCATCCAAAAAAAGAGGAGTAAGTACCTTAAAAACATCCTTCATTACCGTTAGAGACTTTTTAATGGTATAACTGCATGTAAAAAAAATGCTTTGTGCTTTGGCATTAAACGTATTTCAGAAACTCGATCTAATTAAACGATGCAATAAATAAACTCATATGCCTAGTTATTAGAACAATATCTGTAACTCTTTTTATTACATGCAAATGACATTATAGTACAAAATAAGAGTTAATTCGAAGACATCATTGCATAGGGTAAAGGTTGAGAAACGTTTTCACTATACCTTCTTCTTGTATAAAAGAAAATTTTATCAATGAATCTGTATAACCTTTCACTATTTTAAGTAGTTATGCTTTCCTGCATTTAATCCAGTGGTTCCCAACCTTTTTTGCTCCATGTACCCGTCTCATCACTGCTATACAATAATTTCCCTTGCCCTTCATTCTAAAACTCAAAAAATACCTATGCATTTATTTAAATCTAAATTAATTTATTTTTATAAATTCATCTCTATTTAAAGAAAAAGTATAATGTTTCAAATACAAAAACTATAATAAAAGAGGTTTTTATATTCATTAATTAAAACTAAATACTTAACAAGTGAGTAAAACGCTGGCCGCATTCCCCTCTGAAACTACCATATTCCTCTTTGATTGAGACCTTCTTATCTAATCTAAATACAATCTGCATTTTACACTGTGAAAAGTGTGGTTTACATGAAATGACTTAACGTTTCACTAAAACACACGTATAATATAATACCGATATTTAGTTAGACTTGATATATTTTAAAAATCTTAGTAGTGCCTATTTGGGTTCTGTTACGCTACTTTGAAAGTTGTGGCCTAAGACAGAACAAGTTAGTCGTATCACTTCATAGGATATCTCTCCCACAATTAAATTGAAACTAAAGATTTAACTTTAAATATGCTCGGTGTTTCTTTTGAAGAGAGACATCGTAGGGTTTTTCTTAATTTGTATAACAAATTTATTTTAAGTTTCCCTGTTCTCAACTTCTCAAACTTCCCCTCACATTATCTCGCCAGGATGTAAATTTAAAGTGAAGTGCTATTTAAACATGTGATTATCTCAGGTTATTCAGAGCGTGTTTCGCTAGCCTAAGCGCACGATTCATTCGTTATTTCGTGGTCACGCTAGTAAGCCTCTTGGCCATATCTGTTTACTATCACGCCGGTTAGATTTCTGTGAGTCCACCTCTCGGGCGTAATTTTGGAGTGCGTTCTTGCACTCGTTTATTTTTCAGATTTTATTTGTATATAGCCTACGTTGAGTTACTGTCGCAAGCGAATGGTGTTTTTGTAACGCACGAAGCCCGTGCTTTCTGTTATTTTAGTTTGAATTAATAAAGGGTTATTTTGCACCCTTCTTCTATGCTGGTATTTATTTCACGCCTGTGCGAGAATTCGCCAGGTTCATTGTAGGATCTAAGTCAGTGGATGTGGAAAAGTAGAGCTAGATCTTACAGACAGCCTTCTAATACAACTTTTCAGATTTTTTCTTCTTTATCGTTTTTGTACTACCTAAGTAAGGAAAAACTTTCTTTTTTTTTATATGTCGAGCTAAAATCTGAAATAAACTAATTAGGTTAATTTAATGTGATTTGAATTCAGTGTTATGATTCTGAATTCTGTTATTGATTCTTTCTCAAATTAGCAAAAAAGTACAGAAATCTTATATAGGGATGTACCGTAATGTTAAGACCTGTAACTAGATTTTGTACTTTATTTCCGCAAACTATCTTAAAATATTGGCTACTTAGAACAGGCGTCTTAATTTAATTCAGACAGCTGCTTGGACAGAATTGGTTGACAACTGCTAAGGACAGATGACAGTAGCAGCGATAGCAATCACAAAAATGGACGGCAGGAAAATGTGGAAATTAACATAAGTGCGAGATACAGTAAGACGTGTTGCGCGTATGCAAATTTTGGATTGCCGGAGTTATTCGTCACGTGATGCGCTAATAAAAGAGATAAAAGATTTCACCTTTGTTGTTCAAAAGCAAAATTTAACAGGTAAGAGTCAATTTACGAAATTGCGATTTTCGATATCTTCTCAACATCACTCGATGTCAGCCATAGTGTTGTTTTAAGGTTTTGGAAATCATTTCAAACAAATGGAATGTATAGCAAACGTCACGGGACATGTCGTGTTCGCAGTGCGACGCCTGCAGAAGATAGGTACTTGTGCTATCCACAAACAGAACCGGCGCAACATAGCAATTGAGGTAACAAATCAGTTACTTGCTGCTACTGGCTAGCGAATCTCCCGAAAAGCTCTTGGCAGACGTTTGCATTAAGGAGAACTATACGCCCGCTGTCCTGTTGTGCGCATTCCATTGTCCAGACAGCAACGTACCGCCGGCTTGCAACAGTCTCGCGAACATCGTAATTGGACTCAATAGAACTGAGCTTGTGTACTATTCTTAGATGAGAGTAGGTTCAGTCTGGTACCGAATTATAAATGCCAACTAATCTGATGTGAGAGTGGTACTGCTTACCATCCAGAAAATATCTAGGAAGCACGGGTATCCGAGATGCAGTATCATGGTATTTGCCGGAGGTAAGGTCAATGGCCGCAGGCCCCTACATGTGGTTGCAACTGAGACTATGACTGATCAATGATGCATTAATGATGTTCTGCTGCCTCATGTTCGCATGTAGGCGATAATTGTTATAATTTGTTTCCCTGGACGACAACGCAACATGTCATCGAATAGTCGCTGTCCAGGCGTGTCTATAGAGGGAGGATATTAAACGCCATGTATGGCCAGCGTGTTCTCTAGATCTGAATCCTACTAAAAATGTTTGGGATGCTTTAGGGAGGAGTCTTCTGGTCGACAATACCCTCCAATAAACAAGCACACCCACATTCAGTGCGCTGACAGAGGGATGGGATGAATTCCCCCAAAAGCTGTTGGATAATGTTGTACAAAGTATGGCACGACGTGTGGAATCTTACATCGCCCATCATGATGATCATATCCCGAACTGACATCTCACGCCAGAATGCCTGCGAACGGTAACTGCATTTTTTCTATTTTTAAGTATTCAGCACAATATGACCACTTTTCCCCTTGAACACTTTTCAAAGCCTTCTAGATTTCAGACCATAAATAATTATCTTCATTGTTATGTCCTAATATTCTGGCATCATTTTATTGCACTTGGCATCCAAACACACATTTTATTGCACTTGGATCAAAAACGGCTATACAGCGCGTTTTTTAACGCGCTGTATAGCCGTTTTTGATCCGTCCTTAACAATTGCTCAGCAGTGTATTAATGAAATGAGTCCTAGTGCATTTTTCGTTTGTGAGAAGCAGTGAAGAATTTTCCGCTCAGTGTTCGTTTGATTGAAGGATTATGGTATAAACACTGTCTGTAATGTATATATAGTGTAGAATCTATGTTTGATGTGAATGCTTTCCTTGGTTAATCATTAAGGAAATATTTTTACTTTTATGGGCCGTTCATAAGCTATGGTACAAACACTGCCGGTTATGTATATATAGTACATAATCTATGTTGGATATGAATGCATTCCTTGGTTAATGATTAAGGAGATATTTTTACTTTTATGGGCCGTTCAGGAGCTGGTGAGGTACAGTTTATTCTGTTATCCTTATTTATAGTCATGCTTGCAAATTTCATGGTTTGCACAAATAAATGTCACAGTGTTTCTTCATATAGTTAAGACTATTAATTTTAGGAATTCCGGTTATAAAGTCTGCTGGTATGTTAAGCAAATAAATAACAACAATCAAATTACTATAAGATAAAGAGAAATTATGACAATACGAGAATCAATAGGCAAAGTGAAATATATCCATTTCGGAACTTTCTTTAGGCGAATGTATCTACAGGGAAAATACCTATCCATTTTTATCTATTTGATTTTGTTAATTTTATTTAATAGGCGAGAAGAAATGTATTCATTTCTGAACTTAAAAGGAAATTAAAAGGAGTCCTAATGAAAGAAACAACGAAACACGCAGACACTACTAAATTATTTTTTTTATTGTTTACTAAATTTGCAAATTTTACGTTGAAACCGTTGAGGCTATATAGCAAAACAGAAGAGAAAGAACTAGTCTTGCAGATATCTTTGCTCCTGATGAACAGGGACCTGTACCTGTTAGCCCTCGAAATTGAATGTTATCTTTACTAAATCTACTCTAAAAGGCTGTTGTTGCTTTGCGAGTTTTAAGGCTGTATAGTGCTTCTATCGCAGAATAGGTTACTATTCTAAATCTCCACCTCGCAGTATCAAATAAGTAAGATTACTTCTTTCTTTTAATCTTCTTAAACATGCAAGAGTGCCAAGACACGTTGATCTTTACTTAATATGATTTACTGATATTCACTATGACATTTATATTTTCAGGTTATGTGTCCACACAATAATATATTCAGAACGGGTTTCTTCTTTTGACCATTTTTGTACTTATATTCGTACAAAAATTATTATTAAACAGCAAGCATTCTTATATTCTTATATTTGAATGTGTAAATAGGAGTACCGTAAATAGGAGTATAAAAATGAGTATTTTGCAACAGAGGAACTGAGGGCGTGGCCAGTGAGAAACAGCTGCAACGCATAACGTCATCCATGACATACCACCAGAAGGCGTAGCCAGTGACATCACAAATGGAGATGAGTTGTTTAAGGCTGCTGGTGAGATGCATGCATCATGCTGATGTAATTAATTTCAGATTGGAATTTAGTTTTTGAAAATTGGCAACGGATCAAGAGGATTTTGGTTTTGCGGGAAAATATTCATGGCGCCCTGCATGGACAAAAAAGCGAATTACGTATTTTGGAATTTTTTTTTAAAGTCTGTCGTTAAATCCATTCAGTGCACGTCTCTTAAAACAACGCATGAGAGAAAAAAATACAAAAAGGACTTCCTTCTAATGACAATTCATCATGCCATGAAAATGAAACTACATGCTATTTTTTTTTTTTTATTATTATTATTATTATTATCTAC